ATGATGGGCAGGTACATTGGCATCAATCAATAATGTACGGGCCATTTCATCTGTGTTTGTTCTTTCTTTTTGCTGTTGGGATGTATGTAGACAGGTGGATTGCTGTAAAATACCATGTGACTTTCAAAGAGTAGAAAAACTAGAAGAAAAAAATTCTTCGGCATTATCACCCCCTAAGATCTTGATTACTTGGCCAAATTGGTTTTTAATTTCAGTAATTAAATCTCAAAAAATTTCAATAGTTTAGACCTATCTTTCATGAAATAAACCCAAGTACAACCTATGAAGCTCCGACATGGCCTTTGAGCTGTGTTTCCCTTCAGATGCGTGCGGATATGGACACCTGTCAAGTGTGTTGCGGATATGGACACCTGTCAAGTGTGTGCACAACGCAGTGTCAGACACACTTATTTGGGCCAGACACGCCCTTGTTTCCAGACACAGAAGAAGACATTGTCCACGTCTTAGAAGCACTAGAGAAGCGCCAGATTCGACACCATGGACACAAGTAGAGTTGCAGGTCACAAAGGAAATAAGGAACAGGAAGGGGTGTGAAGGAAGAAGAGTATGGAAACAAGAAAACTTTTCTTTCTAAATGATTTAATAATTGTTGCATTATTTTATATGCTAAATTTTGACTTTACAAACCCAACCCAATGCTTTTCACTAATCACAATTCTACACTTTATAAATGTTTCCTATTTCTTCTTCCATCATATACTCTATTCAACTACAAAAAGAAATTAATTTTTTTATTAATATAGTTATTTAAATATCAATTAATATTTTATTTATATTTATATATTATTTAAATTTTTTATTCATATAGTTTTTAAATATTAATTAATATATTATTTATATTTATATATAATTATTTAAAATTTCTGATTGATTATTTAAATATTAATTAATATATTATTTATATTTATATACTATTTAAATATATTTATTTAAATTTTTTATTAATATAGTTATTTAAATATAGACTTTTTATAAATGTTTCCCTTGATTTTTCGTAGATTATAAAGTATAATTAGTACATTTTAATATATATATCGACATGTTTGTGTTCCATGCTTATCAAACTTGTCCGAGTTTACGTTTCCACTCAACTTGGGTGAGTTGACTCATAAGCAAAACTCACTTTTGGAGCAAACTCACTTTTGAAGCAAACTCGGTAAACTAGTTGTGAACTCAATTGAACTCGCAAGTATGCAACCGAGTTGGCAAGTCAAGAGGGTTTCTTTTTAAATCCAAAACGAACCTATTTCTACTTGCATTAGGATTTGTGTTCATGTTCTTTGTGGTCACAAGAGAGTAACATTGATACCTTTTTAAGGTCGAGAATAACCCAAGAAGACACTTGATAGCGCAGGCAGAATGTTTATCTATCCCTGAAGACAAATCATGAGAAAAACATATACAACCAAACATACAAGGAGGAACATGAAAGAAAGGATCATTTGGAAATAGAATGGAAAAAGAAACCTTATTACCAAGAGAAGAGGATGACATCCTATTAATAAGAAAACATGCAATAACATCCCCCAATGATGGACCAGAATATTAGCACCAAGCATTAAGGTGTGAACAGTCTCATACAAGTGTCTATTTTTCCTTTCTACAATACCATATTGTTGGGTGTATGAAGACAAGTAGACTGATGTAATATGTCACGTGAACTTAACACTGTAAAAAAACTTAAAGGAGACATACTCTTTGGCATTATCACTTCTTAAAATTTTAATTGTTTGTCCAAATTGATTCTTGATTTCATTAAAAAATGATGTAGAGATGGGCAATAGTTCAGAACAATCTTTCATAAGATAAACTCAAGTATATCTGAAATATTCATCAATGAATGTTACAAAATATTTGAAACAAAAGGATGAGACACAACTTGGTCCCTAAAAATCAAAATGAATAATAGAAAGACTAGAATTACACCTTGATTCAGACCTTTTAGGAAAGGTATATCTAATATGTTTTCCTAGTTGATAGGACTCACATTCTAAATTCTGGAGACTACTTAGGAACCATTTTTTCAATTTGGACAAGTGGGGATGGCCTAATCAATCATGTAAAAGTTTAGGACTTAGAGATAAAAAACAAGACACATGCAAACTACATCCAAAATGGTATAAACCTCCATATTCATATCCTTCTTCAATTTGTTTCCCCAAACCACGCTTATGTATCACAAAGGACTTGTTATCAAAGGTTATTGAACAATTTAACGTTTTGATTAATTGGCTTAATAAAATCATATTGAAAGGACAATTAGGAAGAAAAAGAACAGATTTGAGATTTAACAAAGGAGAAAGGGAAACTTGACCAACTCCCTTTGAAAAAGTTTTAGAACCATTTGCTAAGGTTATGAAATGATGGTCTTTTTCAAAAGAGAGAGATGAGAACAAAGTATTACCAGATATGTGATCAAAAGCACCTGAGTCAATTATCCATGAATTTTGTCCCTCAAGAATTGTGAAATGCAAGTTGTTAACGTCCTCGACCTCCATGTTCTCCTCTAGTATATCATCCTCCTCTGCCTCATGTGGAGACCACGACAAAGGGTTCCATAGGTTCATGAACTTCCTTACTTTGAGGCGTTGGAACTCAAAGGTGTTGTGTAGTCAAACTTTCCATTGATGGGACTTCATGACTTGTTAATAGATGATCTCTAATATGATCAAAGTTTGGATGTAGAGCACAAAGGATCATCACCATGTAGTATGTCAAGTTTGTTCTTGATCTCATCCAAAAACTCCACCTCCAAGAAGATCTTTAGTTCTTCAACTACATATTGGGTTTCATTCATGAAGGATACCATATCATGATTAGTCTCTTTAAGAGACGCAAGCCTATTGGCAAAGTCATAACGAAGTTGAACATCATTCGCAAAAATGTTTTGAGCTTTCTTCCAAAATGAATTACATGTTTTAAAAGCTCTAAGTGTTCCAAATAGTCTTGGTTCAATCAACTGCCACAACAGCGCACACAGCTAGAAATCAACTTGCTTCCACTGCTCATCTTTCTCATGAGACACATTGCTTCCATCATATTCAAGGTTTTCATGATAACCTTAGCCAAGGAACCGCATTTCAACAAATGCAGACCAAGAGAGGTAATTTTATCCTTTTAGTTTCTCGGAAGTAATGGAAAGACTTCCCAAGAATGAGACAACAACTCTAATAGACATTTCCTTTGACAGAGAAGAGGAAAACAACTAGGGTAGAGAAAACCCTAGGATGACCATAGCTAGGAAGACTTTTGGACATTGTCGAAATGAAGTATAAATGGTTAGAACAAAGAAAGGGAGCTTCCAAGATACCTATAATGGTGGCGCGATGAAGTTCAGACAAGGAGAAGGCGAAGCGTGGAAACGAGCGGGACAGGGTTGACTGTCACTCAAAGAGGCGATCTAGATCTAATGGTCGCCGGAAGAAACTGTGATGGTGGCCGGCAGGGCCCGATGACGAAAGGCAAACATGGCGAGATAATGCGCCAAAGATGATAGAGACCTACAAAGTGGGATCGACCAGAGAGAAAATATATTTTGGAGGGCTTGAAAGACCCCTCTTATGATCTTCTATTTATAATGAAAGAAAATAGATACAATGGGAAGATGAAAGATCAAAAGACTGCCCTAGACCCCTAGGTATAGAACTAGGTACAACGGGAAGAGGTTCCCAACACACTACTCCCTACTTTTAGACTTTAATGATTACTCTAACATACATAGACTTAGCAATTATTCTAAAAGTAATGATCAAAGCAGAATTTATAATTTTAAACAACATTTTATATCAATTTTACCCAAAAAGAATAGTAGATCAAGTTCCCCAACTGAATGCAGATGTTGTCATCACTAAGAAGAAAGTATGCTTATAGATGTAGTCAAAAGAACAAACCATAGTACATAGATATTCTGATAGATCCCATTGCCAAAGTCCTAAGGGGAGCCACTTACATACCCTATTGGATATAGACATCTTATCATAAATCATGTACTTTACCTTCTAACCTTAATTGGAGGGAGCTATTTCTGCTTTGAGTGTGGTAAGCCATTTTTTAAATGCCTCTTGTCATGATTGTTGGGATGTGTTTGCATTTTTATATTCATCAAGAGAGCAATAGCAGAAGAATTACTTTATGAAAACAAAGGCAATGCTAAAATTGTTGGCTATTTTGATCCTGGTTGAGCAAGTTTATCATCAAATAGAACATAAACTACAGAGTATTGGTTTTTGACAGAAAGTAACTTAATCTCATTGAGAATTACAAAATACAGAACATAATTGCTAGATCTATTGCAAAAGTTGAGTAGCTAAGGCATTTGTAAACCAATGAACTCGAAAATGGAAGAAGTTAACAGAATGAAATAGATTCGTGTACACCAAGATCCACTGGACATTGAGATTGGCTACCATTTTCTCATAAAAGGGTCCTTGCAAGAGAAATTGCTACTGGTTCTGTTCTGTCAACTCAAACATTGTTAGCTTATTTATTAAATCTCTTAAGCTTGCAGCCCAGATTGACTTCATTTGTTGAACAGTTGGGCCATATGAGATATATGTTCCAGCTTAGAGGTAGAATGCTAAAATTAAGCTTATGTGTAAGTGTGAGTTTTGCTGGCATTACTATTGGGTAAGTATTTATTGTTGGTTAGCTCTAATCTAACAAACCATTCTTCCTGTAATTAATAATTAATATTGCATACTGTATAGATAGTTTCCACTGTGGGTTGATTAGACATAAGTTTAGCCTCAAGCGTTTCTCTAATTCAATACAAATAATGAATTAATTTCTACTCCATAAAATCTTGCTGTATACTACCACTCTCCAGCAGACATTACTGGTTAACAAGAGTACTATGGGCACCTATATTGTGCCAAGGGAATCACCATTTATGAATACTTCAGAAATCAAGACATTTGACAATCACAGCAATATAATTGTTAGTTACATAAGGACAAATGAAGAGGTAAAAATCACAACAAATAAAAACACCAATAATGGCTTGTAATATTTTCCTTAACGCACCTGAATTTGCTGGATACCAGTCAAATCCTTGCAGAAGTCACTCAGCACATGATTGCAGGTAGGCCTCACATATGTTTGAAAACAAGCTTCCAGCTGGCCAGTGATGCTACTCACTATAACAGATGGAAACTCAATTATTTCTTGAGGGTGGGGATTTTTATCCTTGTCACAGGTAGCCTCAAAGTCTATCACCACAAAATACTGAAATTCTTGATATTGCTCACGTGGATAACCTTGAGCAACCATGTTAATTGGAACATACTGAAGCTGGTTCTCAACAGGATAAGGATAAAAATGGCCATCAAAACCATTCATTTGGCATTGCTGCACCTTGTGAGCACTAAAATGGCAGGGTGTCCAGGTGCTGTAGTTTTGATGATAAGTAGGTTTGCTGTGAAATTCATTGGAAGGCTCAAGAAACTCACTGCCCAAATGGCAGTTAGGCTCAGTAACATCCCCAGCTGGGTGAGTACCAGGCTCATTTTTAACCTCTGTAAAACCTTCCATAGAACTTCCATTACTCTGAAAATTGCAAGGAAATACCTTGCCCGGGAGGCATTTTAAAGATGCCTCACAGTTTATTTGCATATTTTCTGCACAAAAGAAATAGAAAGGATCATGATAGGCCGAAACATGAACATGGAAATCTTGAAAAAAATTTGCATATAAAAGACCAGAGACTAAAGAGAATCTATGTGCACATATAACACTAAGATATTCAGTTTTCCCCAAAGGATTGGATAATATACAAAACTGAAACTATGAATCTATTTCCAATGAAAGATGACAACTGACAATTTTCATTTAATTTTCAACAAGCACTTAAGATGCACAACAAGTAATCAAAATATCTCTCACCACGAAAAAAGTCTTATTCACACTCTGCTATCAGATGCACATTAACCAATATGGGTCTGCTGACCAAGTATAGTCAAATAAACTTGCTATCCAAAAGATTTATATATTTTATCTAATGAACTAAGTTCCAAAATTC